TATTTGTTTCACTAGTTGTTTTTTAAACTACTTATTTTGGTTTTAGATCTACTGCTTAACAGTAGGCAGGGAATTTTCCAGCAATATTAGATCTATGATTCCATTTAGCAAAAAACTGTTTCAAAACTGGAGATATTGTAAAAGAACATTCATTGCTGCTGTTAGAGTTTTTATGGATCAGATTACAGTCTCTTTTAAGCTCTAGATCCTTGCATTCGTTCCAGTGACTCACATTTTGTTGCTACACTCATGAAGTGTTTTATTAATGGAGACTGAATAACAAACACCCACACTCTGGCACAATCCATTTCAGGCCTCACAGTTTTATTTTCTCTTTACTTGGACTTTTGCACATTCATTTATCATATTTCAGACGTTTTACACCTTGATCACACCATTACCGAAATGTTTAATCTTACCCTCAGTTTATTCTGACAATATTTGGCATTAGTAACAGCTATAACTCACTAAAAACATTGAACTGGCAAACATATTCATGTGAGATCTTTCAGGGGCTTTTAAATAACCAAAAATCATGTGGCGTAAAACACATACTTAGCCACATACTAGAATTTGGAATTATTCTACCATGACTTTTTGTATACAAATGTAGACAAATAAGAATCAGCAGGTTTCTTCCAATGCAACATATAAATTTAAAATAAAACAGCAGCAACTTAGAAAACATCTGTATTCCCCAAGCAGGCAGAAGCCCCATTCAACTGAATGATCAAAAGACAGAATTAAGCCAAGAAGATGTTCAGGTTCAAAACGTACTCAGAGAAAATATCAGGAAAAATGTTTATTACAGGTTATTAAAGGCAAAAACAGAGACCTCCTTAACAAGCCATTTTATCCAATCATAAGTTGAAGACATTTAGGAACATATTAAAGATTATTACATGTCTGCTTGTTCTTATAGGTTCACAATACCTGTTACTGGCCATACTAGAATAAAACATCATGCACAATAGTCTCACCAAGTATGTCATCCTCTTAACAGGAGTTTCTGTCTTACTTAGGTGGGAAATTTCTGGTAGTTTTCTTAGGATGTAAATTGGAAAACACTGATGAGCAGCATGCAGAATTCACGATTCTTTCAATTACTCTCATAAACCCTTCCTTTTTTAAGAATGTCAATACTACTAACAAGATTGCTTTGAGGAGCTTATTTCTTTCTGCCTTCTTTTTAATACTATTCTCCGTTAAGTGGATGTTTAGCTATTTCCTCAGAAGCTAATCCTATCTCTCATTATACACCCTACCTTCATAGCCCCAGTAGAACTACATGAACAGTCAAAGGAAGAGAGGATCAATAGTTTTAAAATAAATCAAAAAGCATCTTCCCTTAAAAATAATAAAATTAAAGGTCTATTTCCAGCCATTTGGTTTTTAACCTAAATACATTCAGACTGCCAGAATCTCCAAATATGGTAACTGCAGATTAAATTGGTTTAAATTGTGCACATAATTTGTACTTGTCAAACTCATTTACCTGCAAAACCGTATTATATATGTCTATTCAAACAGGTACACCACAAGTGCTTATTCTGGGTCTGACAGATTACTGCTAAAATGGCTGTTATGAAATGCTTTGATCTTTCTCAAATGGACTGTTCACATGCTTCAGGTTAAGAATATCTTTAAGTACTCCGTGATATGAGTACGTTTATGAAATCCCTTCTTCAATTCTCTCACTTCTTGTAAAAGGTCACTCAATTTGAGAAATGTAGTGTAAGAACATTGTTTCCTGTTGGGCCAATAAGATGGCAATTATGAACAGTTTCACGGAGAGGTGCCTGACACGTTCTGGACTTTGTTGACTTGAACTCTTAGATGTCAAAATTATATCCTATAAAAACTTGCTGACATTTGACATTGGTAAAGACGTTGACATTGCCCTCGTGCACCCATGCTAGTACAGCCTAGAGGACAGTGTTTGCTGCGTGCTATCAGGTAACCCACTATGAAGATTTCTGGAACAAAATGAAACCCCATGATTTCTCCAGGATGCAGTAAGACAGTACCCTCCAAGCCAGATTTGGCTCTCTTAGGGGAAAACATACATCTACTACCAACAAAAGAAATGTATTGTTCAACACAGTGTACAACTTAAATAGTAGGTACCTATCCAATCTCTGTCAAAGCGGTGCTTTCCCAGCAAAAGAAAAATACCTGTCCTAACAATAAGCCACATTTTCTATACCTAATATTTATAAGGAGCAACTGGATTAGAAAAAAAATCTGATATTTTTTCTTCCAATAAGGAAGAGAAAATATGCAAATACAAGTTTAAATTATTTTATTAAAGAAAAAATATTGAAATGTTCTGCATTCAGAATAGCTTCTCTTCTACCATTATTATTATATGTATTCCCTTCCAGGAAAGAGTAAAACTGTTGAAATACTACTCCATCAAATTCACCAAGAAACACATTTTATGCTTACCAGACAGACTAGATGATTTGAGAGGCAGCAGTGGCCTCTTCAAAGCAGAACCAGAGTCAAGTACAGGAAGCAAAAAAATGGAGTACCAGTGCCCCACATTTAATACAGCAGAAGATGAATTCAGTGCAAATCATTTTTCCAGAAAAACTCATCCTGAGTAATATGTTGAGGGTTGAATTTCATCTCTGAAGTACAATCATTGAATCCTCAAAAAGATGAGAAAACATTTCTGTAGATTGCGAACTACAATTTCCTAGAAATTGTCACTAGATGGCATCTTGTCATCATACTTTACATCTCAGAGTTCATCACCACTGTCATTCCCCTGTGACAGAAAACATTGAACACAGTGTCCTGATGAGGTTTCAGTTTACTGTAACGCATAGAATCCTGGTTTTACCACTGTGCAGTGCGTACCATCCTACTGGACCCTCAAACATGGCAGAAAATCAATATCCACACATTGGCTCTTACACCCGTAACAATTCATACATAAAAGCAATAGCAAAACTATTAAGAGGAGTTAAAAGAAGCCATTGGGGAGTAGGCTGTTTGTGGTTGTTTTTCTGGTTGGTTTTTTTTAATGATTTATTTATACTGCTTACCCATCAGAATTCTCAAAAGTTTTTACTGCTGCCTTTCAGAACCATGTTTGCTGGTTGGCTTTAAATTTTTTAATTCTGGGGCTTGGTACTTTACAAACATTGTTAAAATTAACAGAATGCAAATGAAAACCAAAGAAAATATTAACCCTGCTATAAATATCTAATATTAAAGATTCATTAATTTATTTGCCTCCAAGAAAACAACAAAACCATCAAAAGGAACAGTATGTTATTGTCATAACACTGCTAAATGGAATTTGGTTGATGGGCAGCTGTACAAAAGTTAAAATCTTGGTTGTGCAAATCAATCATTTTATTCTTTGGTTTTCCAGTAGCATGTTTTTGCAGCTACTAACTGAAAACCAAGGAAAAGGAAAAGATTCAAAGGAAAAGCTCAGCAAAATTATCACATTTCCTTTAGTTTCATTCCAGTTATATAAAGCAGAGATCTACAATACTGCTGTATGAAATGTATATTTATACCCCATTTATTACAGTCTCTTGCATTCCATCTATGGGAGCACACTCCACCCCACAATTTAATACATCAACTTCCATACAGCTTTTGTACAACTTTCATGCAGACACAGCTTTTTCCTGCTGTTTCTTAATCTGTTTGCTTATTCTTAGATTGCAAGAAGTATGCTCACAAGCTCCTTCCTATAAATCTGTTAGAATTGCCAAAAATTGAATAGTACTAACAAAAGCAAAGGCATTTGGTTTTCTCCTTTGCATATTCTGCTGTTCCTTTTAAAAGGAGAACCCTGTTTCAGTTCATTTAACCCACAGCGTACATTCCCTAATATTCCAAGTAGAAGAGGTATGCAGCCAAATGTGTCTGAGCACTTTCAAACACCAGTTTGGTTTATCCTTCATGAGTAACATAAAGACCTAATATAGACACTCACACTTTACCTGCATTTCAGCAGCTCTCTAGATTCACCTGCTGGTTGGCATTTGCAACTGGAAATTCCCAGCAACTGGAAATTGGTTATTCTTATTTTATTTAGAGACTGACTTTTACTTCCTTGGTTAAAGAACAGAATTTCTGACAGTGAAAGGGAGGAAGGCTGCTAAGAGAACAAGGCATCGCTACTCTACTGCCAACCAAGCAAGACAATGCCAGACTTTATTTTAAACAAAGAAATCAAAATGTCAACCTCTGTCAACTTATTCTAGTGATCTGCTTTTCTAAGAATAATAAACAGATCCAACTTTGTAGACATCCATACCATTACCCCTCTAGGCAAGGCAGAACTCTGATAACAAACATTCAGCAACCTATGCACCTAATTCAACAGGCAAGTCATAACCTGATGGAAGAGGAAAAGGATATCAACATATTACAGGAGTTTGAATGTAAAAATAACTGGTTTATCCTCATTTCATTTATCATTAAATAACATCTACAGTTTGAGGGTTTTCTCTATACAGCCTACACTAGTAACACTGCCATATCATCTAAATGATGCCAGAGTATTTAGAGACTATTTCCAGTTAACATAGACTGCAACCTCTAGCCGCTAGGAAAGCTCATCTGATGTGAGCCCCACAGCCACACGCAATAATGAGCAACACCACTGTAAACGTATAAAGACATAACAAATAAAAGCTAAAGTTCTACAACTGCTTCTAACTTCCTGTCTGCTGTGAATTAACGAAGCAACAGATTTCATGTGCTTCAATCCCCAAAAGTAGTCAGATGTTGTGATGTAAAACCTGACAAAATCTTCCCCTGTTAGGCATCTCAGATAAAATTTTGATCTCATTCTGAATTTAATTCACAGGCATTGAAACCCATAAGCTCTCAGATTCACATGAGACAGCTGTAAGGAATTCGCTTGTATTTCACAGCAGTTTTATGGCTTAGGTTCAGAATTAAAAAAAAAAAAAAACAAAAAACAACACACCTATAAAGATTTTCCACTTGCGACACCTGCACAACATGCTTGCCCTTCTCCCATGTGCAGAAGACTCTCCCCTCCTACCCAACAAGTTATCCAAATGCTCTGTGATGATGTGTAAGGAGGAGCTGGGTTTTCAGTTTCAATTCTGTTCTTTTCCTTGGTACTGACAGATTTATTCATTTGTTCTTTCTTTTTTTTTTTTTTTTAGAATGCTTGTCCTAAGATACATTACATTCAATAGAAATCTAAAATGTAAAGAAAGATACTTTTTTTCAAGCCATTATCTCCATCTAATAGATCTATCTCCTGAAGCAGCAAGATAAGTTACCTTCAGGTAGTTAGCATATGTTTATTCTAGATCAAAGACAAATCTTGCAGCAATTTTATTTCTCAGAAAAAAATCATTCTTGTCCCTGCTGAATTACCCTGAAGACTCCCATTTTACTCCCAGTACCTTTTCTCAACGTCTCTTGATTAAAAACAGTACACAATGTTTGTTATCAAATATCAGTGTATATAGGGAAGAGTTTGAGAAATAGACTAGGGAAAATGTCAAACCTTAAATAAGCACAAATGCAATTTTAAGGTAGCCTACAAGAAGAGTATGAAACTGCAGATAGAGTACAACACTTAGAGGAAGCCATAAGAAAAATGGACCAAACTGGCAGAATCCTAACCCAAATCCAGGCCTCGAGATTCTGGCAGTTAGCAATTGAGAAGCTTCCTGAAGCTTCCCAGTAGTAATTTCTTCAGTCAGTTTTTCTTATCTCCACAGATATAACTGATTGCCTGATGAGTTTTAAGAACAAAAGAAAGGTTTTAAAATGCACAATCACTCAGCCTAATGAAAACATCTTGAATTATTTAACAAACAATCTATTAAGTAGCTATACCTATCAAGAAACACCAAGTTTGACAGATCTGGTTCACCACTAAATTACCACTGTAGTTTTATATCACTGTAACTCCAGCCATTTCAATAAAGTCTCAATCGTGTAACAGAAGTAAATTCAATTTGAGTTTCAGCTGCATTAGACTTTCACACCGGATCTGTCACCAAGAACAGGAATAGCACCCAGCAATTATTAAAAAAAAATACCTGGAAATAAGCCTTTCAGGCTCTGAAACTGGGGCAGTATTCAATAATTCATTCTCAGATCCATTTGAATTCTCATCTGTCAACTCTCCTTTTATTACCAGATTGTTCTATAAGCAGTGATCTGGCAACACATTTGAAAAATCCATGTATTCCTCTCATCCATCACAACAAACAATTTTCCAAGCAACAACAGAGACAGTGTAATTTCAAGAGAAATATCTCAACTCTTAACTCATTACTTTTATGCCATGGTTGTGTGGCATCAGAAATAGCATGAAAAACACAAAACTCTTTTCTGTTTCTGTCACAACCCTCTTCAGTATATTGAAATACACTGGCAAACTTGCCTTTAAAACCCTTCCTCTTGACCCTCAAATAAGCAAGAAAAGCAGTAATTAAACACCTGAGTTACTGAGGCTCAAGCAGGACAACTGAAAACTTGTTTTTAAGGTAGTACTTTGAAGTTCAAGGACACTTTCTTACAGGCAACAACAACCAGAGGTCATAAAGTAAATAAGTACGTAAATAGATCAGAACTTCCAGGTTAAGTTTGGCCAACAAATTCTGTGAAGCCCCCATCCCACCCACCTCTTTTTATGGGAAGACAAAGCTTTTCAGTATGACAGATATTTGTAAGAACATGTTCTGCACTTGTAACAGACCATTTTCTGTTCTAAAAAACACATTGAGCCAAAAAAACATATTCTTCAAAACATTCATTTTTAACTGATACAAGCCTGATTTCAATGCATAGGAGGCACAAAACCAAGTTTCTAAAATAAACCTTTACCTCTGACAACACTATTTTACAAGTTAACTTTTGACAAACCAACAGAAAGATGCTTCTCAGTAGCCAGCTGTTCTAAACAGGAAGGAGGTATCAGTGTCAGTGCAGAAAGAATCATTGAAAGTCGAGTATTCTTTGTACATACTAAGGATTACAAAAAGTACGTATTAAGCATCACAAAAAATAATACTTAAAGTAGAGTATTCTTAGTACATACGAAGTATTCTTCAAAAACTTAGTATGTGGAGTAAAAAAGGATTTTGTCAAATCACCATACCAGTCAGATAATCTTTCATATATATTTTGATCTTTCAAGATGTTTTCATATTTACAGTAATGGGACTAAGCAGTTTCAACAAGCAGTGACTTCCAACTGAAACACAGTGTTCATGTGGAAGAAATCCAACAACCTCCTTCTTTCAAGGAACTTTTAATATTTAAGGTTCATGTTTAAAATAGCATTAATCATGCCTGCAAACAGGAAAAAAATGTTTGCCAAGCACTTGACATATTGCTTATTTCTGTATTCCAACATAAACCCACATTCCTACAACCTCAAATCTGAGATAATGCAATTTAGATAATCAGAGAAAAAAAAACCACAAACCCCAAATGTGCACAGAGTGACTCAATGCCAATTACTGGCATTACCCAACAAGAGGCACTTGAAAAGGTCTCGTGTAGGATATTAGGGTTTAAGAGACAAAAAAAAAGATTCAAGGGACTTGACTGCAATGAATGATTAATTCTTCGTGACATCAGAGCTGAATATCATCAGCATCTTTGTAAATCAGGCCTATAGCATCTTAATATAAACTTATTTCACGGTACACTTCTTTCCTGCCAAGTGATAAAGTTACACAGAAAATCAAGAAGGATAGGTGCAGTACAGAGACAGGCTAGATTATTTCTATCCTTTAAAACCAGTGTAAGGTAGTTCATTGGTTCCTCCTCCTGCTCAGTTTTCAAGCAAATGGTGGGATCACTCTTGTGAACACTTTTAACGCTGAACTCGTCCTAACTCACATGGGCTTGTTTTGTTTACCCTCAGCTGGGGATATCATTACACCATGAAACTGCAGCAAGGCTTGCAGCAGTTGCACCCTGCCCTACAGTTTGCTTGGGCACTCTCCCTTGCATAGCAGTGAGACAACCTGAAGCCCAGCCTGCATGTTGATATGATACAGTGAGTAGCACACACTAGATTCACTGGGCTATTAATGAACTTACACTGCAATGACTGCAATCAGTTTGTAAGACAGATCTTTGCTGTACTATATGTTCAAATATTAAAAAGCATTTAAGCAAATTCAAGCACAGTCACTTCAAAAGCAGTAAGGTGTCACAAGTAAAAACAGGTTTCAGTGATTTACGACTGAAACTATTTAAAAGCAAATCTAAGCTCAGCTACAGAGTCTATTCAGCAAGATGCTTCTACTTACTGGACCTTGAGGATTGTTCTTGGCACTGGAAACCAGAGTCATAACATGAGATTTATAGTCCTGAGGACAAAAAAAAAAGGGGAGGGGAATGGGGGTTGGAATAAAACCAAACCAATTAAACAGAATAGTTTGCACTTTATATAAAATGAATAAAGATCAACATGGAGCACAAGTATAATTAGGATCAAAGGAGGCATTACTAAGACATTTGATTACTGAGACTTCCACTGCCATTCATCTTTTGCACTGTACCCTCTTTACTAAGTTAAAAACCATTTGGGGTTTACTATAATGATCCCCAAGAAGACCAGTGTTCTTTTCCCTTTTCTTTTAGACAAGTGTGTGTAGAAAGGACAGGATGATGATAGAGCTACCACCTTTCAGCAGTTCAGTCAAGAAGTGCAGTGCACTTCCAGAACTAGGCCTGCACGGCCTCGCCATGGAAGTTTGGAGGACAGTTTCTCAGCCATCTAAAATTCTCTTGGCATCTTACAAAAAAATGACACTGTTCCATCAGAAGAGCCCTGGTTTATCTGCCCACTTGGCTACAGCCATATAATGTTGCAAACCAGTACAGCATGGGCCATGTAAAATTCCTAGTTTTCTACCCCTTGTGAAGCGTCTCCTACACCCCCAACTAGCATTCCACAAATGTGGACACAGAACAGCTTGTAGCTCAGGCACATCTGAAGGCTTGCAGTTGCAGCTGAGGAGACCAGAGTGCAGGGACAGGGGGAAAGATTATTACTCTAGTACAGATAGTGTGAGAGTAAGACAAGCTGACTACACTGCTGTTAATACAAAAATAAAGGCTTAGGGAGGTTTTTAATAGGCGATGGAAGTGCCACAGTATCTAAATACAGACACAATGAATACAAGTGCAAGACTCGAGTCAATAACTGGAGCTATTTTTTTAAAAGGCTATGTTAGAAAGTAGTTGGCATGTTCAGCTTGTGCATCTTCCCTAATGAATGCAGCCATTACATCCACATTTCTATGTTGAAAAGGTCTACCAGGGCCAGGCTCTTGTTGTTTTGCCTTTCCTGTCAATAAGACTAGATCTGCATGTTGAAGTGAAGCTACAGTTCCTCCTAATGTCTGGGAATTAAGGTCTGATAAGCTGAAATTGAGGCATGTCTGACAAGGACAGTAGAATAACTGCTATGAACTTTTTATAATTATTATTTTCAAGTACACTTCCAAATACTAAGCTTACAGATCCTTTATTTATAGGAGATGTGCTAGGATCCAGTAGACAGAACTTATTTCAGGGAGTTGCTAGCAATACGCTGGTACTTCACTGCATAACCTTTCTGCATTTCACTCTTCTGCATCCCAGTTTATCCATTAATACATGGAGGTCTATACCACTTTCCCACCTAAAAAGAATCTTAATGTCTGTATAGCGTCTCAAGAGACAGCTGTTACAGAAACACAGCAGCTTGAAACAGACTATATTTGCCACTAAGGCATAAAAAGAATTTATGGGCTGCAAAAGTTAACAGCTCTAGTAGCAAAAGTATTCTCCTTTCTAACTTTTCCTCCATGTATTCCAAATCAAGTCACAAAAGAATCTTCTTACACAAGTAGTGTCCACTTAGTGTACTAGCTCCTGAAAGGTATAAATAGGAATATCAGTTGCTCTCTGTTAAACTTAGCTATTGTATATATCAACACCAAAAAACAGACTTTACAAGATATGTATAGATGCCAGGCTACCATCAAAATTAGCACGCAAACAAATTCCTACAGTTCAATTGCATCTGTTTCCCACAAAGGAAAGTGGTCTCTTCTGTCTGCTGTAAGAAGGTACAAGCTTTCTGAGACTGACATCAAACAAAACCACCAACCAAATTACCTGTTCTGTTTTCTAGCCTCTGCATAATTTAATAGCACTTCCATATCTGTACTCCCTGCTGCATCATTGATAAACTGTGCATTTCCTACCTTTTCAGGTTTTCCTCACATTTCCTCATTTCACTTCCCTGCTTGCTTCTTTTCCTTCATCTTAGCTCCTCTATCTTACTGCTGCCACCCATGGTTGTGCCACTCTATACCCATTTTACTACTGCTTTATTATGCACCTTATTCAAACAGGATATGTACACAGAGATACATTAGGATGCCTGTTCAGCTATTTATATGCAATGCCCATTACCTTCCACTCTGTTTTCTAATCCACATGCTCTTTCTTGTTACAGAGCTATCATGCAGTAGGTTGCACAGCTGACCTTAGGTCTTAGTTTCACAGTGCTTTTAAAGGGCACTGTGCAGATTCAGACTCCACAAGCTAACCATTTTGCAGGGATGTTGCTCTTGGTAAACTTGCTAGGAGAGGCAGGCTGGCAGTCACACAAAGAGATGGCAGATTTTATTCTGAGTAACTCTTTTGTAGAAGGCAATGACCCAAGTTCCAAATACACAGGCCATTTTAAAGAGGTATTTTGCAAATACACGTTATTTCTGCCCCCTCCCTGCCCCAGCTTGTTTCCAAGTACTGCACAGCTTTGAACCATTAAGAGATTAATAAACAGATTTGGACCACTGTTGCATGGGGGACACCAAAGCTTGTGATGTGCTCCATGTTAACAATACGCTTACCACCTGTCATAATCCAGGGCATATTGAGCCAGAAAGCTAAAGCAAAATCAGCAAAACTCAGGCAAAGGCAATTTTCAGAGGGACAGGAACTCCCCTCAGTAGCTCAAATGAATCTAAGCCTGTGAGCAAGAGCCTGAATGTCTGCCCCAGTAGTGCAATCAGCTTGGCCTGGACAGGCATCTGATAAACACCAATCTCCTGCTCTTGTGTCACGAAGATGGAAATAGTCATCCACTAACGTCTGCAATAACACCATTCAGGTGCAGCTTTCTGATAGACAAAAGGGATTAATTCTCTACTCCCAGCCCAAGGATGATCGTAATGATTTTCACGCAAGACATTTTCCTATAAGCTATTTTTGTATTTAAAACAAAACCTTTTGTGGTGTTGCATTCACACTCATTTTCAGGTAATATAGCATAATAATCTCATACGTTTAGCTTATGCAAAGTGCAACTGACAAACCAATTAACTACGCACTTGTCTTGGAACCTACAGAAAATGAAACTGTGTTGCTGCAGCACTTGTGGCAGCACAATAAACTTCCTCCCTCCTACAGAACTATACTTCATGCTCCTATCAGAACATGATAGGAATAGGTACAGTATAGAACTATACTTCATGTTGCCTCATCTATGTAATTTCCTTTAGGTCTCTTGGTTCCATGAACATTTGTATTTTGAGATGATTTCTCTTGCTACTCAAAAGATGGAATTACAACAACCATTTACATGCTGTTATCAAGGTCTGCTCTGGTATAAAAGACAGCTGTGCTGTCTTTACATCAGGCTTTCTAGAAGTTTCTACTAATTTCCTCTTCTGTCTGCCCTTACAGAAATCATGAAATAGATTTGAAACGCTCCCTAAATTTTCCATGGGACACACCCTTTTCCCCACCCCTCAAACTGAAAGTTTTGAGTAAATGTCAGCTCACAGACACTGCTATCCATTCTTCTGCCTTAAATGGGAAAAATAAATTTTGGCACTCTTTCCCCAGCGTTAAAAGTCTTAGATACTCCCTGGGGATAGAAAGAATCAATGCAAGAAAGATCCATATTTTCTTTCTTGGAACACTACTACTTCCAGCAATTTATTTGACTGACTATGCCTTCTATTACCATGTAAATTGTTTCAGGCTGCAGGAAAAAAAAGTATTAATCTCCCCTCAGTAAGTCATAAAAAAAAAAAAAATCAATTTCAAGGTCAATTTAGTCTAAATAACACCTGCTGCCCTTTTTGTAACATGCAGACTCCCCTGAAACACTAAGTTGCTGTCTATAAAGGCATCAATATGTGATGGTTCACATCAATCAAGGCAACGTATGGTACAGTACAGCCGATATTCAGTGAACCCTCCAAGGCTTAAAAGAAGATTCAAAACAGGTCCCTTGTCACCAGACATTTTCAGCATAAGCATGAGGCTTTGGAACAGAAAACTAAAGCTGAGGAACTCGTGTGTAAGAGGTCTGAGTCTGCAAGAAGCTTGTACCTCCTAAGGATTGGGAGTATTGAGGGATTCTGAGCTCCATGCAGAAAGTATTCAAATCCACAACGGGTGGGCCTCAGAGTAAGAGCTTTAGTGAAGGGAAAATAAAAATAGTAACATAAGGAGAAAAGTGGAATGGAAAGACAAGGAACAGAAAGGAAATAGGGAGATGGTGGGGGTGTTTCCCCATAAACCAAGAATTCAGGAGAGAAAAGCAACATGAAAATTCCTCTCCTGCTGGTAATGAAGACTTTTAAGTGAAGAAACACTTTCCTTTTGGTCAAAAATGGTCTCATTCTTTTGGGAATACTTAATATTAGGTTGTCAGGGTAGCAGAAGACTACATTTGATGACTCTGTATATCCTGTACATTCATGCACTGTTTCCTGGAAAGTTCACTTTGAACTGTGTTACCAATCTGGTCGAGATAAAAAACTACAAAAAACCCACAGGACTGGAAGGACTGGTGAATTTGCTTCTCCCTGTTGTGATAGCTCTTTCCCACAAGGTTAATACAACTGGTTTTCCTTTCCCATGTACAATGTACAGCAGTGCTGGTGCCTCTCTAAATGTAAAGTACCCAATGGAGTACTTCTGAGCTGCCAAGTAGTGAAGAAGGATAGTTGTCTAGGACCAAACTGGAGTTCAGAGAGAGGATTCTTTTACAAGCAGCCCAGACATTCCGAAGTCTTTGTGGCACCCATTAGGTTGGAAGCTGAGGAGCATGCCAAGCTGCCACATCTGATACAAGATTTTTTGTTACAGCCTTTTTATTTCTTCCCCTTGGCTCCTCAGCATAAGGCAATCCATACCTAAGCAGCAAAAGTTCCTGAATGAAGGAAATATTCAGATATTAAGTAGTCTTCTAAGACTTCTCTAATCAAAATAAAGCAATGTCTTGAACGCTTTTGAAAAGAACTGAAAACATAAGGCTGCACAAGGCTGAGCAGACAGCAAATTGAAATCAGTTTAT